AGCTGCCCAAATTTTTACTGGACATGACTGCACTGTCAGCCGGATCCAAGGGTTAAGATATTTAATCAACTTTTGATGATATAGATTACTATTAATTAACCCACTGGCGGCGGGTGTCACGTACGTACATGCCATGGCTGTTGTGGACCAAACGCCGAGGGCATCATGCCATGCCCATTCCCGCGCTACTGGCCCGTCGAACGGAGGTTGTTTTCCTCCACTAGTAGTGGCTTCATTTATATGGTAAAGATTTTAGGCAATGGCACCTAAAATGAAGGTAAACCTTCAAAATTTTAATATTTTCATAAATTTTAGAAAAATAAAAGCTTTTAGGTGCTATATGTCGCTCGCAAACTACTGATCGAGCCGGGCGCAAACAGGGGAAACTGCCAGTGCGCGCCAACAAGCCGGCGCATACGTAAACTTGACAAAATTTTTACCCGTCGCTGATGGGTTAATAGGAAATTCATATGATTTTTTTTCTTTTTATTGCAGATGGAGAGTCAGACAAAAAGATCCATGTTGAGATCAAGCCAATAAGCAATGGTAATACCCCAATGTCAGCTAGTGTTGACGAACTAAGAGCTACAATCGAAGGAATGTCATTATCACCCATGCCATTTGCCTCGGTAAGAGTTTACATTGTTTTTATATCAATGGTTTATTAAATTCCTATGTGTATTAGTATATGCTTACAGTGAGAATAAGAGGATTTACACTACATCATGAGAGAGTGAGTGAGTGAGTGAGTGAGTGAGTGAGTGAGTTGAGTGAGTGTCTGTATAATGCGTTACACAATAACAACAGGGGAATTGCGTTTGGGTGCATTGTTTTGTTTAAGAATAAAGGTTTACTAGATGGATTTCTATGTATGAACAGATATTCAGACTTGCACACTCACACATGTACCCTCTAATGCGCCAACTGACTTCCTCACTTTCATATCTTAACCCCTTGGATCAGGTTACTTCAGGGCAATAACAAGGACCAAATTATGGGATTTAGGTTGTCGTAAGCAGATGTCGTGCTGGGTACATGGCTTGTAGGCGGTGTGTAGTGATGAGATGCTATGCCTTCCCTTTGCAATGTTATTATCTCTTTTTATGCATAAGCAATTTTTAAAATTTTTGCCATTTTTCAAGGTCCATATTTGTCATTTGATTTGCTTTATCCAGATGGTAATATTTTCCTTGCACAGACTCCATATCAAACCACTAGGTAGTAAAAAACTCATTTCAAGAGAGATAAAAGTATGTAAAATTTTGTTACTTGTGTCATCTCAAATTTCGTAATATTCAATTTTCTGTAATACAACCTCTGCCAGTCATGGTCAGTAGTAGAATTCCTTCCTCTAACCAGAAATCTTCCATTCATGGCTTATGAATATAATGGGAATAATACATAAACCTGTTTCTAAACACCAAATGAGTCAATGCAAACTCCAAGAGGTTAGTACACTCATAGTGAGTCTTTAGTGTCACTCCAGCCTTCAGCTGAAAAGCTCACAATAGCAAGATCGCGTCACCTGGCCCACAGCCAGATTTTCCCATGACTGCATTTTCGCGTCACCCGCCCCTCATACCAAGTTTTTTTCATGACGTGATGGTCACTTTATCTGGATTGAAGGGATTCAAAAATCAACCCCCTGGATCCAGTTGCAATGGTTACGTAAGTGGCCAGCATCCCGGGCATTTGGTGTGTAGGCCAGGTGTGCACAAACACCCATGAGCAGTGACAAGACTCAGTACCTCCCCTTTGAGAAGTTATTTTCTGAAAACTTTTTTAGTTTCATCGCCATTTTCCAATGTCCATATTTGTCTTTTGATTTGCTTTATCCAGTTGGTAATTACTTATTTTCCTTGCACAGACTCCATATCATCTCTCTATGTAGTAAATAGCTCAATGACGCTTTGTTCACGTCACCCGTGTAATTGCCTGAGTTTTTCCTTGACGTGATTGCAATGTCATCCGGATCCAGGGGGTTAAAGGTTATGACAAAATTTATGTGTCTGTGAATATTGGTGAAAATACATTATGGATATTGAATTATGAACAAAGAAACGGAATTGATGTATGGATAAACTACAGGAATTTAAAGTGCAGATATGTTACGGGCAGATTATATATGATGGTCAATTATTAATGTTTGGTGACATAGTGAATCAACCACATTTATCAATATAAACTAAGTTACACTGCCGTCCAAGTCTTGTTGCTCTGTTCAGTTTTAATAGGACTTGTTGCATACTAGCAAGGTTACTTGGAAGTTGCTTTAATAATATTCTCAAAAAAATATTATATTGATCAGAATGCAGTAAAGCCACTACTTGGTCAGAAATCGGTGGCTTCTTTAGTTATTGAGATTAAGGTTGTTAGTGCAACCATTTACAAAGTGTTTCATACAATTTTACTTTAAGTCCAGGAGTTGAAAATGATGAATATACTTATTGCACACCAACTTAACTGACTGAGAAACAATTTCTTTTGTGTGCTTCTTGAAGTAATTTAGATTTATTCACATTGCAGATGGTCAATATGTTTATCCCAATAACTAAGTTAAAAAAGAAGAGTAGAGCTCTTAGATTTCAAATCTGCAGCTGCCTACTCATTATTAATCAATGATGCATATATTTTTTGCTATAGCCTTTGTGTTTAGGAAACTGTGGATCTTGATTTGTATTACACAATGTCTCAGTACTGCAGTACTCTTGTTAATCATTTGTTGGACTTTTGATTTTGTAATAGATTGCGATACTAGTACACATTCTATACTTGCTTACCATGTGATTTACACTGAAGAAAGGAGAAGTATCATTGTTTTATAGGAGAAAATCAAGACTTTATCTAGATTATTTATGATATATTCCTATGTACTCAATAGCCATTTCATTGGCTTGTATCAGTTTTGTAGTAGATTCAGAAATTAGTATAAAGCTTATACTTTTTATTTTGGTTATATCACATATTTAAAGGGAAAGCAAAGAAGTTGCTTTGTTCTTAACAACATAGAAGGAAGAAAACCTTGCTCACATTGTAATTGCAACTGGGTTTGTGGAGCATTGCTGGAAATGATATTGATTTTTCTTTTTTGGGGGGAGATGGCCAATTAAATTGTTCCCCTTGCAACAGCATGTATATAAAGAATATGCGATGCTATTCAGTCATCTAGAATCTATTGGCAGTATGTATGATTATATATTACATACATATAGGTATGATTTGATCAGTGACAAATATTCCAGTGATATAAATTGATTTACAAAGTCATGGCAAGAATAGATATCTCCTAGCATTTGGCTTCAGCATCACTGTGATAAGATTAGGTGCTGCCTGTCATTTGGCTCTCTATTATGGTGAGAATAGACATCAGTTGTGTCATTGGGGTAATGTGTATTTTTTTTATTGTATGTATAAATTAGTTTACAAATCTTAGTTTAAATTTGAAACCAGGTATTTTAGTTCCTTGAAAAAGTTGCTTTGGACTTAACTTTTAGACAATTATTTTAGAAGAAGAAGAGGGATGTTCTGACATCACTTGTCTCCAACTAACATGTGATATATTCAGTAGAATATTTTCAGATATTATAGTCTCGTCTGTGATACTTACTTATTGGTATTGTAGATGAATATTAAACCCCTGGATCTGGTTGCAATGAGTTATGCAAGTGGCCAGCATCCTGGGCTTGCGGCGCGTAGGCTAGGTGCGTATGAACACCCATGAGCGGTGAGAAGACTCTGTGCCTGAGAAGTTATTTTGTGAAAACTTTTTTTTTAGCTTTATCTCCATTTTCCAATGTCTATATTTGTCTTGATTTGCTTTATCCGGATGGTAATTACTTATTTTCCTTGCACAGACTCCATATCATATCTCTATGTAGTAAATAGCTCAGTGCAAGATAAAAAAAATTCTATATATATGGAACATTTGTGTCATATATTTCATTTTTAAGATTTTCAATTTTACGTAATACATCCTGCGCTGCCAGTCATAGCAGCCAGGAATACCATGCGTACCATGGAAATGGCGTCCTCCCTGGAGCCAGCATTCTTCCAGTCACTGCTTACTCATGTTACTTTCCACATTCGTTTATCGATGGGAATAATACTAAAGCCCCCTTCTAAGCACTAAATGGGTCAAATCACACTCCAAGAGGTTTGTGCACTCGTGGCGAGTCTTTTCCATCACCCTTGCCTTCACTCTTGACGCTTTGTTCACGTCACCATGGTAGCTGCCCTGACGATGTGATTGCAACATCATCCAGATCCAAGGGGTTTATTATATTTTCTGCTTAATTTTGTAACTTAGTAATAATCATGGTTAAAGAAACATTGTTTTCCATTAACACTTGGTTAATGTAGGTTTGTTGGTACTTATTGACAGTATCCCAAGCTTGCACCCAGTTCATTCAGTAGTTTGTGGGCAACATTAGGCACGTAAAAGCTTATATTTTGATATCATAGAAAAAAAGTGAAGGTTTACCTTCACTTTAGGCATTATTGTCTAAAAGTTCCACCTAGCAATGATACCGCTACTATCAGAGAAAAACAAGCCCAGTCTGATGAGTTGATGGCACGGGAATGGTTATAGTGCAATTCCACCCACTACTTGGTCCACAACAGCCATGGCAATTATGTACATGTCATCCAGTAACAAGGGATTGATCCATTCATGCCTGGTGCATCTATTCCTAATACAAAGCAAAAAGTTCATATCCTAAGTGCCAAATATCTATTCTTTGAATAGTCAATCATTTGTCTGCAATCATTGAGGTATAGTCTCCAAAAGAATGGGTTAAAGTCTCTCTTTTTTTTTTTACCAAAAAGTGATACATGCCATAGCCAAGATTGTAGACAGTCCAAAAATATTGGTTTTCTATGCTTCTATTTTTTTTACTTAAGCAGGTGAACTGCCCTACAGCTTGCCTTAGTTTGGCATGGGTAAATTCTATTATCATTGGGTTAAGAGGTTGATCATCAATTATAGATATGGTATATTGCTTCGTTGTATAGCAGATGCAAGAGTTATAAACACAGTAGAAAAATGATACATTGTGTTTATATTAATTTCAGACATTTAGTGCCATGAATATCTTTTTTGTGACATTGACTGTAAGTTTATTGAGCCACATGCTATTTTCATAGCATTTGAATTGGATGGTATAACTTTTGATTATTTATCATTAAAAAATCACCTAAGAAAGGAAAGGAAAGAAGACAGATGATTAAAAAAAAAAATTATATTTCTGAGCACAAGTAAATTATTACATAAAAAAAGACATGTATCACATGATGACAAGCTTCTAAGATGCGAGTCATATAAAGAATGTGAGAGGAATGGCAGGATTTTTTTTCTTTATCTTTTTTTAGAACTAGCAGCAGTCCTAGCTATGCCCACCCTACTGTTCAGCTTGACTAAAGTTCCCCCACCCCCACACACACACCCCTACCTAGACATACATACATACATAAATGGCAAAAATATGTCATGTCAACACTAATATCACATTATTTATTTTTTTTGTACTGACAGAGCTCCACGAGTACTTGCATCAAGGAATAAGCTATTTGTTTTATCAATGCCAACTATTTTCCTTTATTTTCAGAAAGATTTTATGAAATATTATCTATATATTTTTTTATGTTATTAGTATTTTAATCCATTAACGCCGGTATATTTTGAAGCCAAAAATAAAAGATTACGGGCGACTACAAAATCAGCACGTGGGGCTGGCCCAGACTTTGCCCACATATGTGACGCCCGAAAAAATGAACATTGCCGGGCAGTGTATCATTGGATTGGAGCTTGTGCTCCAATTCAGTTGTGGGTCGCAGCTGACATGCGGGGAGATTCCAGGCCAGCCCCACGCGCCAATTTTGAAGCCGCCTGGAAACTATTATTTTTGGCTTCAAAATATATAAGTGCTAGTGGGTTGATAACATTATGATCATGATAATGTGAATAATGATGACACTTTCAATGTTGATAGTTATAAAAAATAAGACATTTTCTCGCCAATTTAAGGAATGGAAAATGAGGCACTGTTATTAGGACTTTCCAGTGGTATCCCTGGTTAAAGTTTAGTCCTGGTCTCTAGCGCATTCCCAAATGGCAGCATCCAGGTTGAAATTCTAATACGCCTAAGGAACAGCATTAACTTTTGAGGTCAGAACTTAATCAAAAACACAGACAGATAGAACTAGTTTATCACATCTGCCATATACTGCTGCATAATGACAATGTTATCAATTGTATGAGCACATGATATGGAGTTGGCATTAACATTTATTCCTAGCCATGATGACAGGAGCTCTGATATTTTTGTGTCTGTGATGTTTTGTGAAAATTCATATATATATATATTTTAATAAGCAGTGTTATATTCTTGCTGTGGACATAACTTAAATAGTGAATGGAACAACAGTTAGAAAATGCCAGAGAGAATTCCTGGGTTATTTTCAGGATTGGAAAACATTCCCATTTTGTGATGTATTACTGAAATAAAAAAGCTTCTAGTACCATCATTATTAGATTTCATATTCAAAGCACCAGCAGCACCTAAAATGAGAAAGAGCTGTCAAAGAAAAGTATCCTGTGGATATAGATTGATACTTTTAGTATTTTATCCTTTGGCACCGTCAGTTGATTTGCCTGTAAGATTCAAAGGCCATTTGAATCCGCGCACACACACATGCATACATACATGCATACATGAATGCACACACACACACACACACACACACACACACACACACACACACACACACACACACACACACACACACACACACACACACACACACACACACACACACACATATATGTATATGGACACACACACACGCACACTTAGAAGTATTCATTGGAATAACAGTGTTGTTTAGATTCAAATTTTTGTTTCTTGATCATTTTTGCTACTGATCATTACATTAACCTGTTGCACCTGAGCTGCCTAAATCTCCTTTGGTGGAAGTATAGTCGTCACACTACTTTCAAGTGGCTCTTTTTGAGGTCTTGCTCTGCTAGTTTGGTGAGGTATTTCTATTCCCATCAGCCAGTTTTCAAAAGTATGAAAATTAAGTTTTCAATTAACTCTGAAACCCTGTATCCCTCACTATAGCCATGAAAAATGTAATAGAAGCCATGCAATGCATCAAGACGACTGACGCTTGGGCCAAAATCTTTGCTGTTAACAAAGTCTGTACACTCAGGTGCAGCTAGTTCATGAATATGCTGATTTGTATTTTAGCTGAATGTTTGTTGTATTGATGTTGTAAAAGATGGTAAGTTATTTTGTTTAACTGATGGAATTTCAGTTTGTTGTGATTCCTTTATTAATAAGTGAAACATACCTTAACCCTTTTTTTAGTAGTTTTTTGTAGGTATGTTTAGTGTACAAAGAGTATTGGGATTAATGGTTGATTTTTGATTAGCCTCGTGTGCCTCCACGCCAGATTTACGCGGATGGAAAGATCAAGATCAGATACTTAACATTACAGAAGGTAACATGTAATGTGCATGACTGCTCTGCCTGATCTCTCTGCCTCCACACAGGTTGCTGTAGACCAAGTGTTCCCCTTGGCTAAGCTTTTATATATAATGTTATAAATATTTGATATAATGATCTTCTTTAAGCAGTGCTTTCAGATGAGAGTTAGAATATAAGACAGATTGTTACTAATTTACAAAACTGTAAAAGGAATTTGGTGTGTGTGCCTATGAGTGTATGTTTGTATATTTCTGTGCATGTATGCAAGTATATGCATCTTCATGTTCATATTGTGGGTGTATATGATTATATTTTTATATATGTCTTTGCGTGTGAATATGTGTGGGTGTGTATGTATGTGGTGTGTGTGTATTTTGTGATTTATGTATGTAAATTTACTTGTGCATGCATTTAAGGTCAGCCTTCTATATTTGTGATTTATTGTTATATTATTATGAAAATGGATTTTGCATTTATGGGAGAATGTATTCGTATGTTCCTTTTTATGTAATGAAAATATAGTTATTCTGTCTAGTCATTCTAAAGGAAAACTGAGGAGCAATGCATGGGTTATATTTAATAGTTCCTTGAGAACCAGTGCAAATGTTGAGGATTATTATTTGTTGATTCATTTGAATAAAGTCCATTTGTATAGGCTTCTGAGGTATTGGCCATGTATTTTTTTCTTTTTTTCTTTTTTTTTCTTTTTTTTCTTTTTTTTTTTTTTTTCTTTTTCTTTTTCTTTTTCTTAATGTTTTTTCTCTTCCATCTTGTAAAAAGACATGTATTACTTTGAAATATTTTTGGCACTGCAGATGATGAGAAAAAAGATATTGAGTATCATATCTTTATAGAATACTTGTGATGTATACGATAAAATGATTCATTCCCCTAAAATATAAGCTTAAATAAGTGTAGATATTTTACAGATTTTTTTCACTGATGATAAACTATTTTTTTCATTTCAATGAAAATTTGGCATGCAAAGGTAATAGGTTTAGATAGAGTGAATAACTAAGCCAGACCAAAGGATATTCATGAAAATTATATATATATTTACTGTATGCATTCAAGGATATAATCTTCTTGAGTATATAGGTTGACTGTACCTACATTTATATAGATACTTTTTTATTATTATTTTGTATCAAAATGCAGTATTTATACTGTTGATATTAATTGTTGGAATATTATTGACATTACACTTAATCCTCGGCTATCACACATTCTTATTCTTGCAAATTACTGCAAGAATATCATGCATACCACAAAAGTCAACATCCGTCTGATACACATACCTTAGCTCATTATTGCATACAAAATTCAGTGTCTCAGTTTTGAAATTACATGTGCATTTGCCATTATGCAAATTTTGATAGGCATATTATTGACTGTTGTTAGTCAGTGATTGGTTAATGTTCCCTTTCAGACCATTGAGGAAACAGTACAGATTCTTTTTATGAGTATGGACAGTGTTTCATTGCAATTACACACACCCTATTTTGACACGCACTGACGAGCTAGTCACTCGGTATATGTATTTACTTAAATATTAGTGTATGCTAATGGTATATCTGTTGAATAAAACTTCAGATCACATTTTTTATAGATTATATACTTGTTGAATATTATATTTATATATAAATTTTTGTCAATATATAAGTTTGTGCATCTAAAAATGTAACGGACATTACAGGAAAGTAAAGACATTTGGAGTGAGGTCTTGGTAGATTAGAATGTTTTGTGGGCAGTGATGCCACAGTTCTCAGTGATACTCAAAACTAATACATAATCCATACAGGGTAACACACAGATAATATTCCTAATTTGATACTGTTAGCTCGATTATGAATTCTACAATACTATATCTTTAGGTTGCTTCCATACTGGCAGGAGTGGGTAGAAGCTATTTCATGGCTGTTTCCTCACAAATAGATTTTATGTTGATAAATGAGTGAACCTTTTCTTTGATACTTCTTTTGCGTGATATCATAAAATAAACATTTATTTAGTGAGAGTAAAGCAAGAAATGTTCAAGTATAAATTCTTCTTGTGTTGGTCACTGCTTGCTCATTGCCTTTTTTTTTTACACATCAGTAAGCTACAGTATTATAGAACTTCTTCCACACACTCAGTGTAGAAGTGACCTTTGAAGTGAGTTGTGAGCCTGTGAGTCTTCTAAGGGCCATTAGGTGATTCTGTTAACCCACTCATACCTGTGGTCAACCTGAAAGTAAAACTGACTGTTATTAGATAAATGTGATGATTTCATTTCCGTATCATATTGTTTTAAGTTCTTAATGAATTATTCAGCATTAATATATTTTGTCTGCTACTTGGTACATGTAACATTGCTTCAGATTTTTTTTTATATATATCATCTTAAGGAATGAACCATCCCGCCTCTTAAAAGGTGTCAAGTGCCAGGGTGAGCAAGATGAAACCACAACACCATACAAACCAACAATAATGTCGTCTAAACTGAATCTAGACTAACTTCTTGGACATGACTC